AGATTTGAAAACATCGTTGCTTGCTTTAAAAGTAGCACAATTCCTTATGTCAAACCTTGGAAAGTGTCTAGATATCCCTGCCCTAATGCCAAAGGAACTGCACACTGAATATGTTTTGCCGTTTGATGTCTATGTCTGGACCGCTGCATCAAAAAGGAGGGCTTCTGCCCCGTTACTTCTCCGCTGCTTTCTTGTTCCAACCCAACTGTTTACTGTTTTTCTTACACGCGGAGGGATACTGACTTGTTGTGAAAAGTAACTTACAATTCTACCCGTGGTATACGCTCAGTATATCACGGCTAAGAACCAATCACATTGCTTGATTTGACTTGTCCGTTTTATAATAAATATTATATTGTCTGAGATTTTAAAAGGCTATTTCAGGAGAAAAAACGATTATTATCTGCAATTATAAAATCATCAATAATTAGATATTCTGCCAATTTAAATGGAATTTTACGAGAAAAAAACGTTGATATTAACCTTAAATATTCTATGTTGTTGACGGAGGAAATGGTTAAAATACCTTAAAAAAAAAATGAAATGTCCAAAAATTACTTCGCAGAATTTCCCCCAAAATACAAATAAAATATCAAAAAAAGTGAAATTTCACAAAAAGTACAGTTAAAATGTCCAAATCAATTCTGAAAAACATTTGTATATTTTATGAGTATTTTAAGAGTATTTTATAAATATTTAATGAGTATTTTACGAGTGTTTCATGAGTATTTTATGAGTATTCTATGAGTATTAGTAAATATTGTGTAGCATTAGTCCCACCACGTCGGCCATGCGGCTGCTCTCCAGGTTGATGTCCAGTTTCGTCTCCGCTCGGACTTTCCGACTCTCCTCCTGAAACGTCTCAGAGGATTAGATTCATAGTGAAATATAATATCCTTAAAAGATGTATTTATATATCAGACAGTGAGCTATTAAATACTATCAAGTCTGACCTTCAGTCGGTTTTGGATCTGCTCCAACTCGCGCTTCATTTTCTACAAGAAAAGCAAAAAGTCTGAAATAAGACATTCTGAGGAAATATTTAAAAATATTTAAATGTATTATAAAATTAACTTTTTAACTTTAGGCGGAAAAATGAATATTTACGGAGTTTTCTGATCGCAGGTTGGCGAAGTCGCTTTTCTCCAAAATCACCATGTCCTTCCTGATGGAGTCGAGGTGAGAAAACATCTGCTGCAGGGCGATCTCCTGGGACACAATGCTGGGATGCTGTTATTCTGTCAGTACTCTAATACTGCTAATCCTACTAACACTCCTAATACTGTGATTATTTGAGTACTGTTACTGGTGTGATTTGGTCACCATGTAACAGTATCTGAGTACTCTGTACTCTGAGCAGTACTCACCTGGTGGGATTTGGTCACCATGTAACAGTATCTGAGTACTCTGTACTCTCAGCAGTACTCACCTGGTGGGATTTGGTCACCATGTCTCTGTAAACGATGTCCATGTTTGCGGCCGTCAGAGAGACGAGAGCCGAGACGACGAGCTCCGCCTGCCGCTTCTCAAAGCCTGAGAGTACAAATACACACATTACATATACTTTAATATACAGATTTACTTCAAACATCACTTCTTCATTATTAATACATTGATCATATTTAAATATCTATATCAATATATGATAAGTAAAAAATAGTATTTTATACATCAATAAAATACATATATTATATATATATAATATATATATATGTGTCAGGTGTTCCTCACCGTTCTCCTGCAGCTCTCTGCAGACGCTCTGAGAGTCGAAGGTCAACTTCCTTTGATCGAGAGGAAGTAGTTCCACCTTCCTGAGGTCAAAGGTCATTGAGGGGACACACACATGGAGGCCTGACACACACACGCATGCAGATGCACACACACACACACACACACACACACACACACACACACACACACACACACACACACACACACACACACACACACACACACACACGCAGACACACACACAAACACACACACACACACACAC